TTTTCTCATCCTTTAGTAAAATATACTGAGGGCAAAATGTAACAATTACATGTATCATTAATTGACAGTCAGCCGCATTTTGTCTAGAGTATATATACATGTTGTCTGTAAATAAAAACTATTTCTCTGAAGAAAAGTAGTCATAGAAACTCAGAACTTATTGATTTGAAATTCTAAGTTATCGTTGAATTCCTATATTATGATGATCTCTTACACACACACACACAGATAGATATATTTCGCGGGCAAATTCACTAGAACTTTTTGCTGACCAAACTGAGCCAAATTAGAAAACTTAATTGAGGCAGAAAAATTGAAAGTAAAATAAAAAGTAAAATACAAAAAGGGTCACTATCCAGGTGACAGAATGAAAAGTTTGAATTTCACAGAAGAATTTTTTTTCAAAACTAATAGTTATGCTTTTATTACTTCTTGAGACGCATAATGCTGTCTCCTGTCGGCACTCGGCACCATCTATATCATCTCCATACATATTGCTCTGGCATTCAATTGAAGAGCCCCATCTTCATGATCTCTTCAATATTCTGTCCATTATTTTTCTCAGAGATTAAAATAAAAATAAAAAGGAAAGTGGGAAACATCTCTGCAGAGAGATATCTATCTTAAAACACCCCACAAAAAAAATAATAATAATAATAAAATTTAAGCAAAAAGCTCATCCATCACTTTCAATATGGCAAAATGAACCAGAAAAATAAAATTGTAAACGAGCACATTTTTTGCGTCATATCTACCACTGAACAGTGAGTTCTAATCATTGCATATATATGCATCTTTCACTACTTAGTTAGAGTTATTAAATTCACTTGATAGATGCATGCATTATGATGAAGCTCAAGCCTGGGTTTTTTTCTGGCTTTAATTCAGTTCTGCCGCTCTTTTGAACCAATTACTCGAAGAGAGCTTCATCTTTTTTTTTTTGGGGTCATTTTCATTTGGGGCCCTGCAGAGACATGATATACTGTTTTGCATGCCCTGGAAATTATTGGCATATTTTCCTTGGTTTGTGTAGTCATTTCCAGAAGAATTTATAATGATAGGGTAGCTTTTAATATGACAATGAAATTGGGTAGTCAATAATGCGTCTAGAAATATGTAATTAGCCCCTCTAAATCAATCGCAACATCAACTAATTAGTTTAAATATTTGGCTTGAAGATAATTAAACCGGACGAAAATGATCAGATCCTCGCTTATTATCGACCGAAGATGATATCGAAAAATAATTAAGTACACCAAAGTGAATCTTTATGTAGTATAGTACGTTGTTGTTATAGTAATGTAGGTATACATTCTGATAGTAGAATTATTGAAAAACTAAGTTAGTGAATATGTCCGACTAACTGATAATAAAATGGGTTACATATCACATTTTAGTTCCAGGCCTCAAGGGTGCGGTGTCAGTATAACTGGGCGTTGGAGAAAGATGCTAAGAATTGAATCCTATGAGAGGAATTGATTGAGTTCCAATTAGATATAACCAAACACTGTGAGGCTTCATAGAGCTTTTGGAATGTTAACTATTTGTCTCGAAATAATTTTTTTTTGTTTTCATTTTTATTTTTGTGTAATTTTGTATTACAAAATAAATTTTAAACTGAACAATCATTATAAGATACTACAACAAATAAGAATTACCTTTATGGTGGGACACTTTTCCTAAAATATGTCTCATTATATGTGTATTAGGACATTTATTAAAAAAATATCTTATTGAAAAATAAAAAAAATGTGCTCATATTATAAAGCATTATCATAAGTGTACCATTTGAGTTGTTTGTAAACTATTATCTTACTTAATTGGTCACTTTAAAGTGTCTTATTAAATGACAATCTAATAATACACTTTCAAATGTTTTATGTTTTATTGTGTCTCAATTACAATAGACACTATTTAATAGTGTAGCACGCAATTTAAGTATTATATGCCCTATTACACCACTTATTGAGATACAAAAAAGGTATCTCAACTTCTCATTTTTGTTGTGGTGAGACGAAGGAATATTATTATTAGGCAGGTAATAAAATCAGTTGTCTAACTTCGATATTCATGTTAGCTGACAAATTTGGGAGAAGGTATACGAAATGTAATCTAATTCATTCCAAAAATAGTCCGATTTATTTATTTATTTTTAACTCAATAAAGAGATTATTTTTAAGATGGAATAAATACTAATTACAACAGGAAGCTTTTATGTATGTGCGTGATTTAGTATACTCATCTGTGACCGGGAAAAAAAAATGTTCATCGTAATGTGCTGCTCCAATCCAAAAAAATGGTTTTTTTTTTTTTGTTAAAGATGGAATTAGATAACGAATACTTCTTTAGATGTTAACAGATGGATGTAAGCCTGTAACCGTGAAGAAAAAAATATAAATAAATAAGTGAATGACATCGAAGAATGAGGCGATAATTCTTATTTTGCAACGTTAGGAATATAAGAAACGACAAATATGTAAAATTCAAAAGAAGAACTTGCGTTATTGCTGTAGTTTCCATATACGAGCCCATTCATGCATTGTGATTAAAAGAGAGACAATTAACGCAGAATACTCTTAGCTGGACAATTGTACTTTCGCCATGCAATATGAAAAAAAAAAATTAATTTAAAGTCGGAACATCCCGTGAATTGCACGGTTTCTTCACAAAGGAGTATTATATATTTATGAAAAATGATTCCCATAAACAACTATAAAGAGGGGTCAAAGATATGTTCAATTTGATGATTTGATCGTTCCTAGGACTTGCAAATAGGGAGACAAACTTGTTCCTAAACCCATAAAACAATTCGTAATCTGAACGTAGGGACTCAAAGAACTAAACACACAGTCACACAGTAGTTGTAGGCTCATTTCCCCAATGCTCACACTCGTGCACTCTTGATAATTGAGAAGTAAAAAGCATGCAGTCAAAGGAACTAAACACGACCACCTTTTTTTTTTTTTTTTATTTGAACCAAGCAATTAAAAAAAATAAATCTTTGAAAACTTTTAAGAAGAAGATCCTCCAATTAGTACATTTTTCTCTTATCCCAAGTGCATTCGTGCCACGGTTTTGGAAAACAGAAATTTGTTTCTGTGTTACACTAAATTTGGTGGGAGAAACTAGGTGAGATTAGTCAACAAATACTGCATTGTTAAACACACTAAAGTAACGTCCATTTATTGGTGTTGTTGATTTCTTTAATCGTAGTGATATATGGGAGTACGTTAACCTATTAACAGAAGTTAAGAAAGAAAAATTCTGTAATGAAGTCAATAGATAGTTTGTTAATCAAACGGTTATATTTAGTTTCATAAGAGTGGTTATTTTGATCTAAATGACTATAATTATTACTAAAATATATTCAGCTGGCGAGACTCTAGTTATGTGTATTTTTCTTGAAGTTCATAATACTCCCTCCGTCCCATAATTATTGTCCAATTTAGGTTTTCATTTTTAGTTTAAATTGTATTAAAAGTGAAATCTCAAACTGGACAATAATTTTGGGACAGAGTGAAATCTCAAATTGTATTAAAGTTACGGAGAGGGGGAAAAAAAGAAAAAACAAAGAGCGAATAACCATACCCTTTAAGTTTAACCCTTTATGAGAAAGGGAAAAATTTAATCATGACTTACAAAATACAATCCAGCACAAGCATTAATTGAATCCTCCTACGAAACTATACCACTGCTCATTTGCATTATTGCTTTGATATTACGCAATAGAACTTAGGCCCAGCACTTTTCAAAAGCTTCACAAATGTGTTTCCTTAGCAATTCAATTTATCATACATTCCCTTTGTCTAGCCCTCTAAAAACAAGGAGTGATGGCTGATGAAAACAAATCATGCAGTTATTTATATGGTAAATAAAACTATTTTTTTGTTTTTTCGTTTTACATTGTTTCTGTTTGTAATTTTTTTTTTTCATTTCATTAGGTGCGAAAATTACGAGAGAATTTTTATAAGTAGATGTATGCCACACTCAAATTACCCTCCCGTGAGCCGTGCAAATGCAATTGAAAGGTTAAAACTCTCCTAATAACATATTGTAAACATTTTTGTTGCGCAGGCAATTACGTCTAATACAAACTCAAAAAGTAAGGAATATATAAATAGTGGGAAACAAAATACTTGCAATTTATTCTTGCTTGTACATCTTCAAACAACACATTATTTTAACATTGTAAGATTATTAACATTGGATCCTATGAATATCACTATTTAAATAGGTCACAAATAGTGCCAATGTACCATTACTTTATAAATGTGTTCACGGCTAAATGCAGCCTACTTCCACCAATACATAAAGGGACTATATAAATTTATTGTCTAAGTTTGTCTTTTGTCACGATTTGTCAAGATTCAAGAAGAGGAAGAAGCCAGAAAGACCAAGCTATCATCATTGACCTTGACCCTGAATTGTGTATTCATAGCGTGCAAAATAAGAGATATCAAATCTTATTAATCATGTGAAATAAATTATAGTAATTTTATTTATCAACACATTACATATATATATATAGTCACTAGAATGTGCTCATAGATATATTTTTTGTAATAAGACAATATAATAAAAATAATACAATCGATTGATACACAACATGTGAAACAGATTAGAACAATAAATTCATAAGTATCTGAAAACTTGAACTTAATCATATGAATCACAAACCACATTTGAAAGCTAAATTATTTTAAGGGGTGAGAGGGTTAGGTGAAATTTGCCAAAAAAATATACTCTTAATTAAATGAAGATGTCTAGGTTATGGTTTAGTGATTAAATTATAGTATGTGACTAAATTTTAAATAAGATTAGTATCTGATTTGTCATTTCAGGTTCGAGTGATTTACCTTTCACTATAAACTATGTAAACAAGATTAAAATGTACTCTACATAGATGGACCGGAACCCCACAACTCACGTGTGATCAACATGAAACTGATCGATCCATGTTTAATAGAATATATCTCCCACTCCCAGTGCTGTCTGATTCAAAGTCTCTGCCTTTTGTTTTCTTCCTCTTTTAGCTATCTCTTATCTCCACAAAATTTCCTCATCTACTACATTTTTTCCCTTCTTCGGTTATGCAGCTACCTTTTAGTTGTTTTTTGGGTGGAGGGTCAAAAAATAAATTTCTTGATTTCCAGGACATCATTGGGAACCCTTTGATTTGTTTTGTTTTCAATATCACAAACTTATCATCATCATTTCCTCCTCACACCTAAATGCCCTCTTATAAATATATGTTATTAAAATTCACCAACAATCTCAGTATATTCTTCTTCTTCTTCTTCTTCATTGATTGATTGATTAGTCTTTTCAGAAGTACTAAAACATGGCAGAGCCCTGCTTCTACAATTTCTTCACTGGTTGGTGTCACTTCAAGAACAACACCCCTTTTCATCCTCCTCATAATAATAATAACACCTTCTCTTCTTCTATTACCTCATCCATATCATCCCAGAATAGTACTTCTTTAACATCAAATGAAATTGAATTCTCATTACTTTCTTCTTCTTCTTCTTCTTATTCTCCACCAAGAAAAGAAGCACTACCCCTTTTGAATAACCTAATTACCTCTGGAACAAAAAAGGAAGAAGAGCATTCAGATTCCTCATGCTGTTCCAGAAGAAGGGCTGATTATCATCAAGCTGGTGTTAATGATGGTGGAACAGTGACTGTTGCCCTAAACATAGGGCTCTCATCAAGCCCTAGAAGTGGTAGTCCTAGTTGTTCTGATTTATCTTCATCTGGGCTGCTTTCTTCATCTTCTTTTCTTAGTGGCAAAATGGAAAAAGATTTTGCTAGCGGTGGTGGTTCTGGTGGTGGTGGCGGAGCTGTGTTTTCAGGTCATGTGGTGGCGCCGCCGGTGAATAAGCTGAATAAAGAGCAGTTTTGGATTCCTTCACCGTCTCAGATTCTGATTGGTCCAACACAGTTCTCTTGTTCTGTTTGCTTTAAGACTTTCAACAGATACAACAATCTTCAGGTATGGTTTCTGTGTGCTAATATATCTTATAGCTAGGTTGTGTGATTCCTTTTGTTCTTTGAGAGAAATGCCACCATACGAAAATATTTCTGATTGAGAAACTAAAACAGTTCAACAAAATAAGCTAGACGGATAGGATATTTATTTTTGCTAGAAATTGAGCGATTAGATTATTAGGGAATGTTGAATTTGAAGTGTTCCTGCCCCTCTTCTTCTATCCAATCTTTGCTAAAAAAATTTTTTAAAAAAATTCATTTTGAAGAAATTTTCGGGTTTGTATGAATAGTGTTTTGTTCATTGATTTGATTTTGTTAGATTCCAAATTAAAAGAACACATTGAAATGTACAAATACAAATTGGCTCTTTTTTTTAAAAAAAATAACTTTGGATGAGGAATATGACCTTGAAAGTTGGAATTTGACTGAAAAACGAGGAATGAAACCTTGGAACTAATTTCAACTGATTAATTAGCTAGTACTCCTATTCTGTCAACAGTCTTAATTTTCTTGTTGCATTGTAGTATTAGTTGACCAGTAAGGGCGTAAATGAGTACTTACCCTTAGTTTTGGGATTCTCGTACTCGTTTTGTAGGGTTTAACTCGCCTAGCTAGTGAGTAGTTAGCTACTTGGGAAATGCAAATAATGCATTAGTCTATTTTATCAACAATCCAACATATTCTTTTGCATTATCTCTCTTCAATGCTCGCATTCTTTTCAATGTACCATACCTGCTACTGTGTTTCAGACATTGATCTTAGTCAAGTTGTATGACTGTAGTTCCTCTGCACCTAAAAAAAAAATACTTCCCCCATCTCGTAATTAATGTCCAGTTTTGATTTTAATTTATAGTTCAAATTGTACTAAAAGTGATATTTCAAATAAAATAATAATTTTAGGACAGAGTAAGTACTAGTTTTGTTCATTATATAAAATCAGCAAAATATATGAGACACTTATTTTAAATGCGGAAGAAGTAATGTAGAAGTTGTCCCTTGTTTTTCTATGCATGTTCCGTTTTGTCTCCCATTTGTTCCCCCATATTAAATTCAGCAAACAGTAAAATTCTTTGAAGTTTGTGCTTTGACTGAGCCATTGTTCTGATCCTCTTTATCTTTCATGTTGTTCAACGGAATTGCTGACACTCATTGATGACCACTGCAAATTGCACTACGAATTTAGATATTGATACATGTTACCAAAACAAGAATTTCACATAAATTCCTTTTTTTTTTATTCTACAAAATTCCCTTTTTATTCTACCCACAATAACATATATTGCACGTTCATCTTTTCTCCACTTTTGTAACTCTCATATCTTTTTAATTTCGTTTCTTTTCTTTCCTGTTTTTCCGTTCTTAGTTATAGCATGCGGTTCCTTTTTTTAGATTATCATCTGGTCATCAAAATGTTCATATCATAGGGGAAGTCAAGCCACAAGTATCCATTCATGCATGAATCAAATCAACTACCTCTTAACTAACTTAATCACTCGGACAACTGTTCTTTTCTCGTCCTAATTCTTTTAGATCGTTTTGTACGGTTTAATTGATTTTGTGTTTGGTATCTTGACTTGATTTTAATTATTTTAGGCCTACCTCTAGTGTGTTTGTTGATGTGATTATCAGGATTTAAAGATCATGGTTTGGTTTAATGAACCTTTTTTTTTTCCGGATTATCGTAGATGCATATGTGGGGCCATGGATCTCAATACAGAAAAGGTCCAGAATCGCTAAGGGGAACACAACCAACAGCGATGCTGAAGCTGCCCTGCTATTGTTGCGCACCAGGATGCAAACACAATATCGATCATCCGCGATCGAGGCCGTTGAAAGATTTCAGAACGCTTCAAACACATTACAAAAGAAAGCATGGGATCAAGCCTTTCATGTGTAGAAAATGTGGCAAGCCATTTGCGGTGAAGGGTGATTGGAGGACTCATGAAAAGAATTGTGGGAAGATTTGGTATTGCTACTGTGGTTCTGATTTCAAGCATAAGAGGTCACTTAAGGACCACATTAGGGCTTTTGGTTCTGGTCACGGAGCAATAGGGATTCATGTGTCCGAAGAAGAAGAGGAGGAGGATGAATCTACATCTGATATTGACCAAGAAAGAGAGTAAACTATAATAACTATTCAATCCGTTTCAAAATAAGAGTCGTGTTTCTTATACTAAAACAGTACAATAAACAGGACTCTAATTTCGGACTAAGTGTTACTAGCATGTATCAATGTGAAGGTAATGCCTTATATATACTGATGAATATGGCTGTTGGAAATTGGGATTTATTTCCATTTTCTTCCTTTCCAGTAGAGATGGTAGTAGGAGGGTCTTTGTTTTATTTGTTTGTTTTTGTTACTTTTGGGGGAAAAGATTTCTCTATGTACATAAGAAACTCTATATGGTTTTGCATTTGTGTAAATCATTTCAATATATTAGTATATTATCGTCGTCCATATGCTTAAACTTCAATGAAAATATTCATGTGCATGGGCCAGATGTGCATGATGCATGAGTCATAAAATCTGAAAGAGTGTGTTAGACTTAGAAGTGCTACAAATTTCCTGGTAGAGGTTAAATTAAGTTTTACCATATTTAGCAAATTTGTTGAGAGAATTGGAGCACGATCAGCAGAAGCTGAAAAGGTTACACTAATTTGCACTCGGAAACATCCCTCACGTCTAAAGTCTTCTGGAACAGAAGATACAATTCATTGGACGTATGACTATACAATTCAAACATATACAACGAATTAGTATTAGAGAGGAAGTATTGTACTACCTCCGTCCCACAAAAATAGTACATATTGAGTTTTCAAATTTATACTAAAAATAATACAAAATTCAAAACTCAATGTGGATTATTTTTGTGGAATGGAGAGAGTATTTAGATTTTCTCTACTTATATTTCTTGCTTTAGAGTTAGTATTAGAGATGATTATACTCTCTCCGTTGACCCAAAAGGAATCCTGACCCACGAATTGTTGATTTCTTTTATTCTTTTTTCTTCTTTTTTGTGAATAGAAGATTTATTTTAGATCGGATAGAGCAATTTAGAACATTCACCAGCAAAATCTTGAACCTAATATTTTCTTAGAAATTGTATTAAAAGGAGAGAATATAAGAAATGTTTTATTTACTGTGGATCAACATCATTTTAGATGAAGTCAAAGAAAACATCATTTTAGAGACGTAGACGCGCGAAAGGAATGAGTGCAAATGCTGAGGATTGAGGGAGAAAATTTGAGAAATTTTGGGCCCTGAGTATTACGTTATTATCCAAGTAATAATAAAAATAAACAGTATTGTAGACTTACAGTTCTTAGTGAGTGAGTTTATGATGGTGGAAATGCTTTTAGGATTGAGTGAGTTTATTACTGGAATTGTTCTTATAGAATTAGATTTCGTTTTTCTTCTCCATGAAAATAGTAAGTAAGCTGATTAATAACTAGATTACTCCAAAGGCCAAAGGGCATCACTGATCACTTTCTCTTCTTTCCATTTTCTAACAAATAAAAAGAAGAAGAAAATTTGATGCAACCTAAAGAGAATGGGATTGTCGAAGAATAAATTAAATTTTGTGGCCAATAAAAAGAAAATATTTCACATTAAGAACTTCATGAAGTAGACTACTCCCTCCGCAACTCACATCACACAGAAAATATGGTTACGAGTGTAATAAGAGCAAATTTGAGGGGTCAAATACCAAAAAATGCACTGAAAATGTGAACTAATATCTTACTACATTAGAAACAAAAACCACACTTAAAAGAAAGCACCACCATTTGCCATGTGGCATTTCAACATCATATTTTTAAAATAAATCTTTATTTTCACATCTCATACACTTCAAATGCAGTCCAAATCCACCTCCACCTCCTATTTTTACCAAAACAAAAAAAAAGACGGGTTCTTAAGAAATCCAAATCCTCATCCCCATATCCACGACAATCGACTCCCTAATCAATCCCTTCTCCACAATAAAAAAAAAAAAAAAATTCCTCATCAATCATCAATTGAGAATATGTGGTGAAATATACTCATTTCCTATTAGCATATTCAATTTTTTCATTAGTGATGATCAACTACATCCTGATCAGATAAAATTTCGATTCAAAAAATATTCTCTTTACCTTTCTATATAAATACAAAGGAAAAAAAAAAATTCTCATTGATCTTGCTTCAGCCGTTGTGGTGGTGCAATTACAGGTATTAAAATTTAAATGATTTTATTTCCACAGATTATTTGTTTGACTTATATTATTTTTTGTTTTTCCCGTTCAAGAATAGTGCTATTGCTATTATTTTTATGCGTCCATCTGTTACAGCTACCGTAACCGTTGTCAGGTAATATGATGTGATTTCTTATATAGTTAGTTAGCCTAGAAGTTTTGTACGATTTTAGTTCTATTTGGATTGAATTGATTAATTGAGTTTTTGTTACAAAGTGTGGTTTTTTAAATTTCTTTTTAATGTTTCATTTAATTAGAGTGGTTATCTTTTTTTAATTATGGAGTCTCAGTTTTTTTTTCGTATATGGTCAGTTACGAACTGTGTTTTATCTTTGTTTAATTGTTTTTTATTTTGTTTTATACTCCCAATTGACCAATTATTATTATTATTTTATTTTATTTGCAATTAAAGCACGTTCTTTTTTGTGTTCTGGCTTTCAAGAATATACTTTTTGAATTTTGGTTTTTGGACTTTTTTCAGTTTCTCATCATCTAAATAGTTCATGTCACTTCTTCTAACTAATTTCTGGGGAAGCCTTTTATGAATTTGAGGCGGAGAGGGAAAGAATGATGTTTCTACGTTTATTTGTATTTTTATACAACATTTTTACCTACAGGAATAAAATAAATTTCTCAATTTTAAATGAGCTATCTTTTACTTTCTTTTTTTTTCTATTTGCCATGATGAGGTGAGTTCTTTTTTGGTATAACTTGAAACCTATACAAATTTACATTATTTTCATTCTCACATTTGTGATCAACTAATTTCATCAATTAATCAGTTTCAAAATCATATTTTTGATATTTTACTACTTATTAATTTTTGGAAGAAATAGTTTCAAGAATTAAGCGTATATCCTTGGGAAGAAGCTTACTACAAAGCTATTATAAATCTCCAAAACTAAGTATTGATTTGGCACAACCGGAGAACATCAATAAATTATCTTATTAATATTTAAACTTATTAGGATACGTTTATGTTTTGTCTAGCATTTGATTCAAGACATATATTTGATCAAGTTTATTTATATTTAAGAAGTAACACTTATAAATCATTTCTAAAATTTTCAAACATTTCTAAAACGTACCGGGTCAATACAATTTTTTTTTATGCCAAATAAAAACATTTCTATGATCACACTTATAAAAAATTTCTAAATTTTTCAAACATTTCTAAAATATATCGGGCCAAATACAAAATATTTTTTTTCCAGATACAAACATTTCTAAGATACACAGATATATTGGGCCAGAGTCACGCATTGCACGACCAGACATCACTAGTATAACTATAAGTTAATAACACCAAGGGAGCATCAGTTGATTCATGTGGGTAAAGTTACCAACTAAATTTAATTATATGATTAATAGCATAAGAATTCTAATTAAAATAATTCTTATAAAAGATTTATCTTTCAAAAGTGACCTACCGACTAAAATCTTATTTATTCTAACCATACTGCTCAGAATTATCTTATGATTTTAGGAAAAAACCAAAACGAAGATTAAGACCATCTTTTAGTACCATTGCCTACACGAAATGAACGTTACTTTATATATGGTGTATATATAACAATGAAGTATTTGTTTACTAACCTAACTAGTTTAACTATTTGATCCACTTTTGGTGTAACACAAGAATACACTATAAAAAGTATGAACCCGCGCGAGAATGCAGTACTTTGGTGATAGGAGAATATTTTTGATTGGACGATCTTTAATTTCCTCTTAAAATAATTTGTGGAAGAATTTTTATTTATTTTTTTTTTTTTTGTAGAAATGAAAACAATGATCGAGTTATCGTTCCTTCGTCTAAGTGCTTATTTCCCAATAATCAAGAGTGAGCATTGGGGAAATGAACCAACTACGGTTATGCGATTACGTGAAGAAAATCCACAATATAACTTATGCACTCACACGTTTTAACGTGATTACCTATCAATAATAAAATTTTACATATCATTATTTCAAAAGAAAAGGGGAAAATAAAATTATATGAATCACAATTTGTCAACATGGCGATTCTAGCGGTGGTAATTACCGGGAATTTTTTTGATTAGTGAGTTCGTTAACACAATCCACGAAGAGAATGTCAAAATTTGGCAATAACCAAACTGACGAAGCCTGGAATTGCACTTCCGGTTCAACTGTGAAACTCCGATTAGGGTTACCTGTAAAACAGAGCCTCGGGGGTCTCACGAGGGTAGACACTCCGATGCTTAAGTCAGAAAATAGGGTTATGAAGTAATATGTGTATGCAAATTGGTGCTAGAAATAGCGTACTTTTATTATGGTGTGATCAATCCTATTTATAGGCTTGAAATTACCAAGAGGGAGACAAAATCCTACTCGGACTCATGTTGTTCCGCCACCCTACTAGAGTCGGTTGGACTCTTTGTTTAATTAACGGGCCGGTCCAATAGTGGTAGTGGATATGGACTCGTCAAGTGCCCCTGTCAAGTGTTAGTTGTATGAAATAAACAAAACTTGACACAAAATAACTCTAACCTGAACTCGACCCAAGTTAATTAAGCCAGTATCGGCCCATAAAGCATCGAGCGAGCCTGGTGAAATAATTTGCAGGTCAAGATTTGATTCGGGAAGGCAACCCGCTTCAGAATCCCGCCCAAAGATTTCAACCGTGCGCAGTGAGTGGGCATGATTCCCAAACGACGGCTCCAACATCATTACTGCTCATTAAACTCCGCCCCGCCTGTCGAGACATGGAAAAACAAACTACATATATTAAAGGAAAACCATTCATTACTTCTCTCCTTTCACTTTCCTAAACTTCAACATTCAGAACACAGAAGCCGTTCCTCTGCCCATGCGTATCAATTTTCGCCGCCTAATCGCTTGCTCCATCATCGGCGGTCCCAGCAACTGTTAAGGCGGAAGAAACCCACCATCCAGGGTAGCCGTAATCGGAAGAGGCAACCCCGTATTCTATCAAAAGTGAGTTCCCCAATCTTCTTGTGTTTTTAGCGCCTGCTTGTGCCCTTCTTTTTGCCTGAATCTTGTTAAATATGCATATATTGTGGTAGATATGGCTGCACAAATAGTTTTCAGCTTCGCTTCTACCATAAATTCTGCCAATAGAGCTAAGGCAATAGCCAAAAAATACAATTTCCCAGTAGATCTAGAATATCGAACACCCCTAGGTACTGAAAGGGCTAATACTCCACCAGAGGGAAGTGTATGATAGATTTATATTTCTA